AAAAAAAAAAAAAAAAAAAACCCAGGCTGCACAGATAATGAAGATAGTTCTAGTCATTGGTCAGCAGTAAAAAGCAAACACGTAATGCCTTCAGCTCCTATCTTTTGCTCATTTCTTATTGCTGCAGTTTCACATTCATTTCTTCTTGTTGTATGACTAAAGGGGATGATGGTAGAGATGGTAAGCTGGCATTTACTCAGCCCCACCCTGCTCAGCCTTGGACGTGGGCAAATTCTCAGCTGCTTTTGTCTCTTTGCCATCTTGTGGTTTAGGGTTCTCTGGGTCTCCACCTGGACACCGACACTGCTGCTGACCTGGGGTCTCATCTCCTTGTTTTTTTTAATCCTCTTCATCACCATCCTCTCTAGGCTGTCTTTGGTGAGGAGGGCCCCAGTGGAATCATGGCCTATAGCCACATACATATCCTGCCTCACTGGCATATGTGGTGCTGCTGCACCCTGGCTGTCAGCACCCTCCATCACCGCTCCCTGCACAGGAGAGCTAGAACACTGTGCTCCCCATCCGTAGGGTCTCTGCAGGCAGTAAGGCAGGAACCGCTCCTGAGGAAGGGCTGGTTTTGTTGGGCCTGGCCTTTGGGAGCACTCTCCCATCCTTCCTTCTTTTCCCCATGCTGACTATTCTGGTAATTCTGTTGGTAATTGTGTGGAGGACCCCCAGGACGTGGATAGCTTCTGTAATGGTTACGGCCTGCTCCACGTTTACTGCCCTGCACTCTAACTCCACCAGGGCCTGTGACATCTGCTGCCTCCGCACCCTTTTCTCCTTCAATGCCAGACTCCACAGTCTCTCCAGCTCCTACACTCCCCACTCCCTGGAGCTCTTTTTTTATGGCAGATCCGTTTCTTACATTGAACCATTTTCCTGTTCCCAAAATCTTTGTCATGACCTTCTTGTCCCTACCCACAGAACCGTGGATATGAGGCCAATGAGGCCAGTACTCCCTGGACAGCCAAGTCTGGTGGTAAAGGTGTGGCTGCTCTCAGGACTCTTTAGGGTATGCTCTCAGCTCCCGATAAAGCTTTATTATTATTATTATTATTACTTTGAGACAGGATCTCACTCTGTTGCTTAAGCTGAAGTGCATGGTACAATCGTAGCTCACTGCAGCCTCAACCTCCCTGGCTCAAGGAATCTCCCATTTCAGCCTCCCGAGT